TTGGTTCGCTCCCCAAGCCTTTCCAGTTGCGCTGAGCCCATTCAAGCAGTTGTGCTAACATGGAGACCATGAATGCCTTGTACAACCCTTCCTCATGCAGTGTACCTGGGGCTTCGCGTACAAAAAGAAGCTGTAGCGATACGCGCAACAAAAGCCACAACGGAGAACGTCGCCATGGTGAAAGGCAGTCATTCCAGAGTACCTCTTCACGGGTATGTTTCCGGATGCGCTTGATGTCTATTGGCTCACCGAAAGCTGCGATAGTATTCATGTACAGGTTCGTGACTATGCCGGGATTGGTAGTGTCGCGTTCTTCGCTCATGATCTTTTCGTTCTTGGTGATTTTTGGCTGGAAGCTTGGGACCTTCTGAGATGTCATCTTCGCCAAGGTACCGGAGATTGACTGAAGTAGTCCTACATCGTGGGCCATTTTGGTTACAGGGATGCTTGCTGCATATCCTGGAAAGCTTCGTATGAGTCGTCCAGGTTTCATAGCCGCTTCGTTGGTAGGTGAAAGCTCGAAGAATTCGAATTTAATGCTATCTCCAGAGCGGCTGGCAAGAATTCCAGCATTCTGTCCCCGAATCTCAATGGGAACTGCACCAGCAGTATCACCGTTCGTGATTTGGGCAAGAATATGTTCCAGTTGTAGCTCGCTAGTGAGTCCATGTTCATCACGGCTACTACGGAGGTTTTCGACAGCGGCAATGGCCGCGATGACAGGCCCGACGTGTTCGTTCTTCACATGGGCTTTCATAGTTTTCAGAGCCTGAATGACAGCCTCAAGGAGAGCAGCGTCATTCCCAGGGCTTCGATCATCTTGTTGTGGTAGCTTTGGTGGAAGAACCACATGATGATAGAGATAGGCCGTGGTATCCGCTAGGGGCTCCATAGTTTAGAGAACTCAGTGAGCGTGTGATACTGTAGTTGCGTCAGTATACCAAACATGGCTTCTCGTACTTCTTCCCATCACCAGTAACACCTCATGTCGATCCATGGGGATACTCACCTGTCTTAGGTTCGTGAATCCAATAAGTGGTAGGTGAATGCGTTGTATCGTTGAAGCTGTAGAAGTAGTGTCACCACAATGTGAGAGAAAGGTTGGTGGCCAAAAAATCTCTGTAGATTTCAAGATACGTGTGTAGGTAGTGCAAAAGTTGATTGTGCGTGTGGCGCTTTGTTGACAGTGAAACTGACAAACGAACTGAGCTCACTTTCACCTTATACCTGCGCGATATCTCGATAACCACGCCGCTAGATGGAATGAACGAGAATACTACGTCGCTCAGCCATGGGTTTCTTGATCCTTAATTCATGCGTATGGAGTACTTTGGCCAAGTCGGGCCAAACTTTTGCTCATGTGAGAATAGTGCGCGCGTACAGCAAGGCTGGATGTACAAGGCAACAGCTTCCTAGAACCGGGAGTCCAATCCAGATGCTAGACTTTAGAGACATGTATCCGTATTGGGTTATCTGTGCTCTTTTATCGATCTTTCATTTGTAGAGACTCTGAACGCGCATTATCTCAGGCTGCGACGTAAAGCGGCGCGTAGACGCCGCAGTCTAAGCCACTCTCAACTTCCATCATCTCCAGCCTTGTCTTGTCCCGAGCTTCGAACGATAGGACAGGAAGCTCTCAATCTCAATATCGAACTGCAGGGTATGTTTATTGTCTGCGGCGCTGGGTGAAGGCAGAAAAAGTGAGAGGCCTTCTAAGGCATACTCGTGCCATTATTCGGAGATGAGGGCCCGGGTTCTAACGAACATGCGGCTATTCGTCGAACGCTCTCACGAATCCTGAAGTGAAGGTAGACAATATGTCACAACTGTGTGTGTGTAAAGAAATAAGTCAAAACTTTTCTTCATAAATTCTAGAAGGGAAAGAGCAAGCCCGTGTCAACTACTAACTACTAACCACCAACCAACATCGAATTGGGTAGGAAAGAAGGGACCCAACACCATTGCCAAGATATGAGCGTATAGTACACTGGCGAAATATTGTTATCTGAACTTGAGTATTCCACTATTTTGTTAGCTACGATTTGCAGTTTGGAGATGCATACTGTCTCGTCGCAGACAAGAGGTCATGTTGTGTGCCAGCAAAGCCGACTCTTCCCTATAGAGTCGGGTTGTCTATTACGTATTCCCACACAGCGCTGCAAAAAGGGGGGTGGAATACGAGAAACCTCGAATGCCATTCCCCACCCGTCTCCACAAATCTGATGTTGAGCGATCCCAATAAGCAACGGAAATACACACACACACACACACACACATTATGCGGCTTGAACACACCTCGTACATTTGCATATATTTATAGCAACTCTCTCCCCCCGCAGCTGATCTCTGTTTCGGTTTTCTTCACGAATACCGCTAGAAAATGCAATTTGCCAACTTGGGTTTAATTATTTGTTAGTGAGACACAAATTCCCATGTCTGTTGCCTCCCCAGGAGGAAAAAAACGCCACGGATGCCCAAATTTCCCCCTCTTTTTCATTAGGGTATTTGATCAACAGGACCAAGAAGGTTGCTGATCAGAATGAAAGCATTCCTCGGGCGTTGGACAAAAGAAGACCCATATACTACTACTACATTTGAAGAAAAAGAAAAACTCCATTGTCATAATCCATATGTGTTCAAGATGATGCACATTATTCACCGCGACTCGATAGCCATTTCCGGGGCGGGTTTAGGCATGGGCTTGAGCTCGGACCCGGCTCCGCTTTCCGCCCTCTTGCGACCTGTTAGGGAAAAGTGGTGACTCGAGGTAGGACGTTCTTCGGTGCGATCATTGGAGTGGTTGTTGTCGCCAAAGCGGGAGAAGATGCCGCGCTTTTTGGGCTGGGGCTTGGGCTCGTCATTCAGCCCCACATCCTCGAAGCCCTCCTCGGGTACCTGATCGTGGCTTTCGCTAGGGCGGCCTTGTTGCATGGATGAGCGGGGTGTTGCGCGAGAGCGACGGGCGTCGAAAGAGCGCCGTGTGTCCATGGATCTGCGCGCGTCGAGCGATTGGCGGGGATAAGTCTCGTGGACACTGTCAGTGATTGGCGAGCGCGCGGAGATGTCCTGGCTGGTGTTAGAGAGGGAATTGCTGCTGCTACTGCTGCTACTGGTTATGGACGTACAAATGATCTTCGGTACGAATCAAAACTTTCGCGCGAAATGCTAAAGGGCTCATTTTCGGCAAGAAGGCTCCGGTGGTTCGATGAGGTTGTCGAGACGTTGGACTTTGTGTGCCAGAAGGTTGGTTTCTCGTTGTGTGGTGAGGGCTGTCATGCAGTGAGCCAATGTCTCTCGGGATGAAAGTCACTGCCGTCGCAGTTCACGTGCGCCGCATCAATTCCATATGCGCTCAAAGGGCTAGTCTTACCGGCAAGTACACGCCGCTATCGTTGATCTCTGCACAAACTGTAAGCGCCCGGCCGTCACATATGCAGTGCGCGGAACACGCCTCGCGCGCCCAGAATATGGCATGAGAGTCTCACCACTCAATTTGTACTCTGCTGGATCCTTCAGCTGCAAGGGCGTGGCTCCCGAGACAGATGTGGTCTTAAAGTCGTTCTCCGGAGCGTTCCGTTGGGCGTCATCAGCCTGATCAGGCGCACCAGCGCGGCGGAAAGGGTTGCGGATAGGCATGGCGGTAGGGCGGTGGAGGCAGAAAAAGAGCGGTACAGAGGCAAAGTGGAGTATTGTTGCAGGCTGGGAGTTTGGCGGTTGTGAATCCAAGAGGAACTGCTCGATCTAGCGCCTCACATCATGACTTCCGTCGCCGAGCCAATCGGGCAGGAACCAAGGCCATTTGGGGTTTGGTGTCGGTGCAGACATGATCCGGAATTCGTGCGAGGGGCGTGGCGGCTAAAGACGTCATGGTACAGGAGTGTCGAGACAGCGACTTGCTTGAGAGGTCAGAGTTTCTCCGTCAGCACTGGAGGCTGTATGTAGTATGTGCTGTGTATGGCGAACTCTGAGGGGACGATGAGGGGCAGATGCAGTAAAGAAGGAAGGCCTCCGGGCGGTCCCTGCATAAGACGACATGGGAATCCGTCAGGTACCGAACGACGTGAACCGAGGGCGCGTCAGCTAGCCACCAGTGCACCCATAAAACTGCTTGTTTGCACCTCGCATGACCCGGCCCCGACTATCGTGACCAGAGCCATTGTTTGGTGCTCAGTGGTGGTAGTGGTGGCTGCGGGTGGGGGGGGAGAGGGGCGCGAGGAGAAGGCGCCCGCTGCCCGTTTGGCAGACCAAGGCAGGAAAAGGAACTAGAAACGGAAATGCAAAATGGCTGCTTCAGCGTAGGATGACGTTATTAGACGAGACGCGTGCCGCCCATTCGAAACGAGCGTGGCGTTCCTTGTTTCTCAGGCAAGTCTCCCGGCCATGTCTGTCTCCATGACCCCGCGACGAAACATGTGCCTCAGCCATGGTTGCCCCCCGTTCGCAAACTGACACAGCCAGGGACACAAATTGGGAGCGAGCAACACCTACCTCGGCCAGCTGAGGCAGCATCACTTTATTTTCGGATGACGAGCAGCAGGCCCCCCCCCCCCTTGAGGCGATTGTAACCCGCCTCTTCCGACCAGCCGTCGATTGCAATTGACTTCGGCCGCGGTCATGTCTTTGCCTAAGGTTCTGACACACCTCGTCTTGGCCGTATTTCACGCGAGAACGCTAATGGGACGTTAGACGCAGGTTATGGAGAAAGGAAAAAAAAACTTGGTGCATGAACTATTGCCTAGCTGGCATGGCTTGCACCACCAAAACGGAAGACTGCAATGGTCAGGGGGGGCAGGGGAGTGAACATGGACAAGACGAGTGCGAGCGAAGGGCTTTTGCAGGGCCCCACAGCCGATACGATGAGTGACGGCATCGCATGTCATGGTGGTATGTGCGAAGACTACATGTGGACATGCAACAGTGGATTGTTACGTTTGCACGTGGTCACTGCGTGTGGCAGGATGAGATGGCCTGAGGCTATATGTGTGTACATATACATGTGTTTACTGCATGTGTGCATCACATTTGGGCGCCACAGCAACCGACAGAGGCTCCTGGGTTGATGGGCCGGGATGCTCAGCTCTGGCCAGCTCACGCAGAAACGATTGACGCCAGGCGCTGGTTGGCGATGGGAGCAGCGACTAAAAAAGGTACAAGATTTGGGATTTGTCCACGTGTGGTGTAAGAAGCGCGCGGAGCAGAGCAGTACGGGGTGGCCAAAGCGCACGAGTACGAGAGAGTTTGGCCGATCACCAGCAAACAGAATGGTGCCAATATTACGGTGCTTACCTGCACACTAATGGGGTCGTGGTGCCTCGCACAACCCTGCCGAGACCGGGTGGACCCATCACCTTGGCCACCAAGTGTGGTTTTCTTTGCCAAAGTATCCAAGGCCCTGGTGGTGTGCAATTAACCAGGCAAAGACAGGATTGCTTGCTTGCAGACTGGATGCCATGGAATCTCCATGTCTTGTGGCTGATGTGGATGCAGCCCATGAAGGGGTAGTGTGTATTGGAGCTGGAGCGGGAGCAAGAGCGGTCACCAACCCAGGGAAAGTACCTAATGCCGCCCTCTTCGCAGTGTTATTGCCTTTGGTTGAAGGAGGCAGTGTGGGTGTAAGACTGAGCATGTTTGTATGCGCCCATATACATATATATCTATGTACTACATAGATGTATCGACTGTGCATGCAGGTTAATCGATAGCCTAGAGGAGCGAGAGCCAAGCGGACGGAACCTTGCATGGGCGGCGCACCGGTACCATGGCTGGAAGAAAACTCTCAGTCGAATAAAAGGAGCAGAGTGACAGGAGATGCGGTGTGCGCTGGGTGTGGCGGTTGCACCTTGATGTCGTGCTCCATGGGCGTGCAAGACGCCTCTCCCATTGCTGCCGTCCTCTACTTTGCATTTGGCCTGCACCGCAGACGACAGGGACAGGCACCAGGACCCCCCCGCCTTGCCCTGGGTAAAATGGGGCCCGTGCACACCACCTGGCCACGGCGCAAAAACCCATCAGTGTGGTGGAGCTATTGCGGGAATTGCTGCTTGCTCTTGTTATGACAAGTGTGTCTAAACGGCCGTATGGGAGTCCGCGGTTAACAAAGACGAAACACGGCTCGACCAGGGCCTTGCGACATCAACGGGCCGGGGGATTGGCGCTGCGATGGCCATGGGCTGGCGGAGGAGAGAGAGAAAGGCTTGGATGACGAGGCCAAATGTCATTGTGATGGTCATGGGCAGAAAAGATCATGATATGTGGAGAAGCGCATCCTGCCACCCACTCCGCAAGATGGATACGATGTGTGGACGACGGATAACGGATAACGGAGCCCTCCCCTGGCCAGCAGCAGCAGCCGAGAGCGCCACGTTCCTGGTGGCGTCGGCGGCAGTCTAACTGGATGGCGCAGGCGTGGTGCCGCTGCCGTCGCCAACGCACTGCGCCAAAAGAGACGTCAATTGGAAATGGACGAGTGTACTTGCACAGTAGTCTGGCAAGAGGGCGAGGCTACTGGGAACGTGCGACTGCAGGGCCCGGCCTGGGTACATATTAAGTGTGTACACAGTACAGCTACTTACTTAGTCCTAGTAGCTGCAAGCGCGTCGCCGAGCTGGGATCTATTATTGGCCGCCATCGGGTCTGCTCTAGGGCTGCAACTGTGTCTCGTATGGGCTCCACATGGGTGCCAACCTGCCAGACGTTGAATGTTCCAACCACCTCTGCGTACCGTCGCTTGCTATTTCCAGCCTGTAGTCCTGCCGTCCGCCCGTGGCACGCATGTCCATGCACGGCCGATGCGCCTGTGCCAGCCCAGCTTTGGCCAGCGCCATCGACTCGTCCCCCTCACACACACCCACACCCACCAGCAGCAGCCAGTACCCTCTGCCCCGATGTTTCCACCGCCGGGCCCGTGTATGTGGGCGGCGATCGACCGTGTGCCTGCCCCATCCCATCCCCCCCGATATAATATATTTCCTCTCCCCTCGCCCCATCACCGCCCTAGTGATTCCCGTCTTCCAAGACGTTCCACGCTCGTTTCCACCACACCACCACATCCCCGCCGCCGCTCGTTCCCCTCTCCCCTCTTCACTCTGCTCACTTTCGTCACGGGATCTGCTGGAAAAGGACCCATCCCTCGCTACCCTCCTCGCCATCTACTCCCACTACCACCACCACTACTACTACTACTACTCTACAGCACCACCCCTCAAGCCTCTTTCACCACTACCACACATTGTGTGCTCCTGCCATTGTCACATTGTCACATTGTCACGCGCCTTCCCATCGTTTGGCGGCACCTTCCCTCTTTGTCCTTGGCCTTGTCCTTGTGCTTGCCGCACAAAGCTCGTCCAATAACAAGCACTGCTGCTTGCTTCTCCTCCACCACCACCACCACCACCTGACCTCGTCCAACCCCCCCATCAATTATTTTTACTGAGGGACCGAGTAAACCGCCTCACCTCTTCACTGCAAACATGGCTTTCGGGGCGTCTGATGATGGCGTCTTCTTCACCAGCTGGCAGTTGTGGCAGAAGATGACTTTTGTGAGTGACTCAAGCGGCCTCTGCCAGTGACACACTAACACGCTGTCGCCAGGTCCTCGCCTGTGCCATCGTCGTCACCATCTTCATTGGCTTCATCAAGCTCGCCTTTGACAAGAGGAAGCTTCGCAAGTACAGCAAGGTCGACAAGGGCAAGAGGGCGCAGTCGCCCGAGATGCTCGAGGCCCAGCCTGTAACCCAAGTAATCGAAGACCCCAAGGACGAAATCCCATTCGGTGTCCGTGCTATTCAGAGCGGTATCGAAGTCGACGGTGTATGGATCTCACGGTCAAACACGCCCGTCGGCAGCAGCCGTGCTTCCGTCATGAGCGAAAAGTTCCCTCGCACCAACTCGCAGCTCGAACTCCCACAGCCAGTCGCCCAGGGCTCTAGCCGCAACAGCTCGCGTGCTCCAAGCTCATTTGACCGCGCCGTCTCTGCTGAACCACTGTCCAACACCGACTCGCGCGCTTCATCGCCCGCTCGCGGACACCAGCATGACGGACCCCGCTGCAGCAATTGCAACCACCACGTCTCTCAATCGGCTCACTTGTCTGGTTCTTCTTCTCCATGTAGGTATTCATCAGAGGGGTTTGTAACCAACGCTAATCATCCCTCAGCTCGCGCCAGCCCTCTCGGACAGGTCGGATCCTCTTCCAAGTCGAGCAGCCGCAACAGTGATGAATCCGACTACATGGCCATTAACCAGGACGTGCGCGCATACGAGACTGCATACCTCCCACCTAATGGCGCCCACAGGACTGTCGACCCCAAGACAGACCTCGACCTTCTCCGAAGCCACCGCCTCTCCCACGTCGCCGAGACCGGACAGCTCATGCCCCGTGTTCGCAAGCCAGGCCACAGTGGAGAATGGGCCAGCGTCGCAGACAACCAGATTTCAACGCTCAACGGTGTCAACTACTTCACGCCTCGGAAGTCGCCTTCTCCTCCGCTCTCCACTGGTATCCACCCATCTCAAGATGTCGTAACGCCTTCTTCTGGCCCTAGCCATGATGGTCACGCAGCCAACCAGGCCAGGCAAGCAATTCCTTTGACCGAATCCTACGCACCTAATGCACCATTCTACCCCGATACCTACCAGCCGCACGGTCCAAGCCACCAATACAGCTATGATCAGGTCCCCTACCAGGTCATGACGGACCAAAATCAGGATCGCAACGAGCAAGTTCTTCGCAAAGTCAACTCTGGGTTTGAGATTCTGCGACCAGGCACCTTCAAGGAGCCTACTCCAGAGGAGCTTGAGCTCGCCGAGCGGAGAGCATCCAAGAAGCTCCAAAAGAAGCGGAGACCATCGACTGATTCGCGGAAGTCTGCCTTTACGGAGCAAGTTTGATACATTGTTGTCTCAATAGCTCTACTCGCACGTAATACCCCTGTTGTATGCGTCGCAGCCACGCCCACCACGTACTGGCACTATGCTGCATCAAAATTTTTACGCTGTTTTAATCATGTACCATTTTGCAAACTTGGAGCTTCTGGACTACATTTGAGCACATGGCATGTATTTTTTTTTGAAGAAGCCATGGAAACATTACCACTGTGGTTTTTTCCCTTTTTCATTTTCTCTCCTTTTCCTCCCGCCGCAACAGGTTGCCTGGCCTTTATGAATTGCGAGCGGCGTTATAGTAATCATTTATTACGTCCATCACACACACATTACTTAGGCGTTCTTGCTGGAACTCAAAAAATGGGGGGTGGGGGCGGACAGCGGCGTCAACCTAACGATCATCTGAACTTTGCATCGAGCAGCTTGGGGGAGAGTGGTAGGGCTTAGTTTCTCAATCTGCATGGGGTGGGTAGACCAATAACGAATCCCTTTATTTTCACCGAAAAATCAAAATATATATATGGATATTTCAACAAAGTTTGTCCCTTTGCTTTGGCATCCTCCACATTTGCCATATAACTCAATGCATTAAGACACATATATTACCTCATCATGTTCATGGCTTTTCTCACTGGAAGAATGCGAACCCCCTTGTAGAATTCAAGATTACCTCATCTCTTCGGGCCATTTTATTTTTATTCTTATTTATTTTTTTTCAAATTCACGCACACACGCACTTGTCAAAATGAGAAAGTTTAAATCGAGGCCCTGGATTATTGTTTTTCTTTTGACGATTTTTTTTCCTTTCATTTTTTCTTTCTTTCTCTTTCCCGCTCCCGTCACGCGCAATGGGCATGGAGTGGGCATGCGCGCACGCACGCACGCACGCACGCACGTGTCTATCCGTGTGTGTCTGTGTTTTTGTGCACACATACATACACAACAACGACAACGGACTTTTGCGACGCTCCCTTTTTTTAAAAAAAAACAAACAAACTTTACTTTACTTTACGTCAGGTGTATTGGAGGGGCGGGGTATCGGATTAATTGCAAACAGAGCAAATCGAGAGAAAGAGAGAGTCATGGAGTAAGTTTATCTTCCCCCACATCCTAGTATGCAACAAGTTTTGGAGGGAGGGGGGGTATGAAAAGTTGAAACATACGCATGCTTTCCCCCCCCCCCTTACTATGTATAAAACCTGAAACTATTGATTTTTTTCTTCCTCTCTTCATGACATGTTTTGTGTAAGTAGTAATAGTATGTAGTAGGAACCAATATATATATATATATTTTTGAAACTATTGATTTTTTTTTTACGCTGATGCTTTCCCTCCGACCCCCCTTGCGAGAAATATATATATACATGTAAGATGGTAAGATGGTAAGTGGGTATTTCTCACGTGTTGTCTCTTTTCGATAAGCTGCGCGGATACGCGCATTAGGTATGAGAGAGAGAGAAGGGCGTTGAGTGCGAGTGAAGGGGGGGGGAAGTGGCGTGATTATTATTATTATTATCATTCTTCGTCTTTCGCACATTCTCTCTCTCTCTCTCTCTCTCTCTCTCTCTCCCTCGTACTGCGCGGGTAGGGAATACGCGCGCTCGTTCATATTATCAAAGTTTATAGGCTTAGGAGAGGGAAGGCGGTGCGGGATACGGTTGCGGATGCGGCCGGATGGAAGAAAGGGAGTAGAGGGTAAGCGTGCTGTAGTGTACCGTGGGTAAGGGTAGTTCTATAGTGAGA